CAGATAATATTATATATGTGTGTGTATATATCGATATTATACGAGTATTGTACTAAATATAGTACAGAGACCAGTGCCAGCCCCTCATCCATATCCTCCATAATATTATGATCATATCCATAATATCATATATAATATTATGTAGGTATACTCGATCGACTTCCGAATTTATTCTTATGCAATTGTATACATTCATCGAACACAAATGAAAAAGTGAAAAATCCAAGCCAAATGTATACGATATTCCTACAAGAAAGTACAGTAAATGACACATTTTTAACACGGGCGTGCTCGACACAGACGACATAAAAAAGAATATTATATGAGCCGCGAGCCGCTCCGAAACTGCAGTCTTTTGAATATTGAATGCCGACTGCAGAATTTGACTCGCGTTCCACTCGAAACGCCGTCGCTTAAATTATTTATATTCCGCCGAGATATAAGAAAAAGAAGATCAAGTCGAGACTGTTTTTTTTTTCGCGGTAATAATATATAACGATAAATTATATATTATTAACATAAGCTTATTATGGGGCAATTTATCTGCATTCGTATAATACAAACGAAACGACAAACACTGACCGACATGATACTATAACCAATATTATACTAATATGTAGCCATGTAGGTATACAAGTGGAGCCGGTGGAGGTGGATTTTAATAGATATATCTGACTACTTTGGAATAGTGTTTACTGTTAATCTGAATTGTGTACCTAAGTTATTCTTTAAAAAGTTGTTTCATTTCTAGGACATGAAATATCTATCTACTTTATCACTCGAACAGCAATAGTCAATAATATTACAATTTGACTATATACACTATACAAATACTATAAAAACATAGAGACATAGTAAATGCTTTTATTTAATTAAAAATCCCTATATACCTACGTATAAACGTAACCCTACCTTTCTATTCGCATTGTTGATTTTGTTGTTTTTTTTATATATATATTTTTGAAGGTTTTCAATAGTTTGAGGACAATCCATATTATTTTCGATTTTATATAATATCTGAAGACTAAGAATATTTTTCTGAACATTTTTGGACAAGCTACTATTTACCTACTTTTACCTACTTTTAAATATAGGTAATAGACTGCTTGACAATAAACTCTGTAGTTTCACTGTAAAATAAATATTTTAATTTACTTCCTTGTTTGGCATAAATCCGTTGTCGATAGACATTATCAATTTGTCATTGACACAATAATATATCGTTTCAGTAGTTGAGTGTCAGAGTGAAATATTAGATTCTGAACAAAGCGATGAATGAATTGGTTTTACAATAAATAGTTGTTTTTTGTTTGTGTTTTTAATCTGAAGTCACCATTAAAGTAGTATTATTTACAATCTAAACCTACTTACGAGATATTGTAATATCACAATGGTTAAATTTGATTGTTAATTAGGTACATGACTACATGAAAGAGGAAGGAATAAATTGGACATTAATAACGGCTCTAAAATAGTTATAATGTTTACTTTTTATTTTAAGTGAAAAAAAGGATCAAGTAATATACATACTTACATTATTATACTTATATTATTTTTGTTAAGGTGTCTTTTGACCAATTTATTTTTGTCCTTCTAGTGTGATGTTCTAAAATAATTAGGGTCTAATGGAGGACTTTTGGGAGATGAAATGATTTGTAACTCTTTTGTGAAATCTATTATTATATTGATGAGCTAGTTATTTGAGTAATTGAGTGTGGGGATATAACGTAGGTCATTGTATAAATTAAAGTTAGAGACATACCACAGGCATCCATGCAATAATTAGTCATAATTCATAAACTATTTGCCTGAAATTATTCCAGTGGGCGAATGTAGGACAGTCTTGCTTGACCCTAGATTTGGATGCTATACTACCAAATTTAATGTGATAACTTTACTATAATAGCTTTAACGATGAACATTTAAATATAGAGTTAGAGTTTGTTCTATAATCTTCATTTTTGAATGTAAATTATTAAATTATTATGGTATATAGAAAATTCTATCAGGTTGTTTGGGAGGTCAAAAGTGAAAAATGCCTAATATTTTTTTGAAAATAATATGGAAAAACAAAATTATTATAAAACCTAATATTAATAATATATTATAATTTATTATATTTTTTACCTATAAATCATGATGTTCTAAAAATGTTTTGTCACAGTTTGAATTAGGCGTCTGAAATTGTCAACTTATTTTAGTTTATTTTTTCTATAGATGTTATTAACATTTGTGTTATATTCATAAACCTATTTTATACGGTACGCTGGTATTAACTTTTAAAACATAGTTATCATTCAAATGTTTTATTGGTTCTGCTTTCCTAAAATTGAGAAAATACTTTTAATTGTAATAAAATGTGTGGTAAATTATTTTTAAATGTTAAAAATAGATGCTGATTCACCCACTCTCTTCGTGCAGAATCGTTTCTCGTATGCAATGTCTTATCATTGAATTAAAATTTAAAACATCCATTACAGTGACCTCCATAAATGATGACGAAGTACACTATACAGACTATAGTACTCCTGACTTCCTGAGCATTCCGTTTGAGTTGTCAGATTTTTCGTGTTAAACTATAATATATGTAGGTATGTATTGAGTATATTTTAACAAATCAAAGTAATTTAACATTATGTATCATAATTAAGTGTCCCAATTAAATGCAAGTTATTAATATATTGATTATATACTGTATCCGTAGTCGAAAATAAGATGGGGTGATAGGTATCCAATCAATAAAATTTTTATATAATTGTTAGGTATTATTTATTTTTATCATTAATTACCTACATATTTTTGTATAATAATTTATTTTTAAACTGGCAAATAAGTTATTCGTTCTTATTGGAGTTATCGTCTTTGAATAAAGGCTATGTTACCACAATTATCGGTATTATACCACCTCGACGACCTCTTCTAGGCATATATTATTATTATATGTTTAATGCTATGAATGCTATGATACAATATATATTTGAAAATAATTAAAAATATATGATAATATATTTACCTTTTTTAAGATAGTCTTAAACATTTTAGATTGTGTTTAATCGATTACATCTAATCATAAAAACTTGGACATTTTTAGTCGCTGAGTTAATTTTTGAAAATGATACAATTATTGTTTGTCTCATATTTTGAAGTAATTACTAAATTGTATTTTTTAAAATATTAAATATTTACAATGCTTTTATGCCTTTTTATTTTTTAAACAACAACATTTTCTATAATGTCATTGAATTATTTTGAAGCTACAAATATTGCAAAATATTTCCAAAAACTTTTATCAGTACTTTTTGATATTGTGATGAAGAGTGACTGCATCACCCTGTACCGGCTGTATCACACTACCACCTGTATCTATAGGTACTATACTTAACAACTGTTATTTATACGTTTGCATACTATTATTATTATATTATTTTGTACTATTGTGTGGCCAAACTATACAGCGGGTGTGTGAAATATGAATGTTTACGATGATGGATCGTGTGGAGTAGGATACTTATTTGAATACCAAAATCATATATATTATAGTGTCGGCAACTACATGGACAATGGATCGTGACGATATTATAATTTATATATATACGCAATACTATGGGTAATATACACATCTACATAATGACGAGGAGTAGGTACTTATGTCAGTAATGAGGAAAAAATATTACAGACGAATAGACGATGCGTACCCTATCGCGCGTGTATGTACAATATAGGTATACGAGTAATATGTTTTTATGCAGGTACGATTGCATGAATAGACGATGAGTTTGTAACCATTGTATAATATTTTAAATTAAATTGTTTTGAATAATTAATTTAATACTGAGATACTGACATATATTTCAAATCTGATTCTTGAGAAATGCTCCTAGCGTATATATACATAGGTAGGTATTTAAGATTTAACACATATTTTGTTCGCTTAATCATATCGATAGGTGTTGTACATGAAATAGGTCTAATATTAATTTTGACATATTAAACATTGATAATTATTTATTTATTTTAAATCGTTAAATTTGTTGGCATAGTACTATACACCTGCTGAAATGGAAATTGTTTTCAACTCCAGAACCATCCCTCCCCCAAAAATGAATACTGGATGTGTCACTAGTTAAATCTATAATAATATGAAATTGTGAGTGGTATTATAATTACGTAAAAATAATGTGTTTTAAGTTATAATTGGTTGTCTGAGGAGGAAGCAGTACCTACATTTTTCCTATAAATATAAAAAATTATTAAAAAAACGTTTGTCTCAGTTTAAGTAAAAAGTAAAATAAAATATGGCTAACCTATACTTACCTATATACCTATATAAATTTCACTGTTTCAGAGAATAAAACTTATCGGGGTCAAGACATTTCGCATAGGTATTATAATTTATAAAATCAGTTTGTCTTATCTTTAGTTACAGTACGCCCATGCAATCAACACCCATGTCCCAGCTCGTCTTGCTAATTTAGAAAATAATTAGCCAGAACGTAAAAATTCGGAAAGCTCTTGAACCGCTGTTACCGTAGGTATAACACAATAATTCATATACATTTCCTATGAAATATCCATGATAATAAGATTCAATAATTATATTATTGTTCAGTGGGTATTATAGTGAATTCCAACAATATAAATTATAGTTTATACGTGTCGTGTTTCCAACTGGATATTTTCGATAAAATTACGTTTTCCTAGTGCATTAATTGTTTCCGAGTTCCGACATATCATATTTCAAACGGATCTCGATTCCGGAATAATATTATGATTCAATCAAAATAAAATTCCGACGAGATAGTTTTCAGCATGAATACGGTTTCAACTGTTTGTGGCTTTGTGCTGGTCTATCACTCGATTATAATATTTTCAGTTTTGACGACCACCGGTGCTGAAACGCTCAACAGTGGTTGGCAAAATGGCGGGACCGCCGGCGACGGACGACCACAACTTACTGATTGCGGCACTCACTGATAAGATCGATAACAGCGGCTCGTCAGTCGTCGGTAGCTGCTGACGATAGTTTGTTATTATTATGGTTCGCGTAGATTTCGTTTGATGTCATGTTTTTGAAATTAATACAATAACATTGTTTACTCGTCTCGTTCACGTTGGAATTGTTTTTATTTCTCTCTCGCTGACCATTAATTGCTTGGACGTCCGTCGGATCCATTTCACTTATCGCGGCTGTCGCTTGCCYATATAGACGCACCCGCATACCGATCGATATCGACCGTCGAATATCGTTGTTACGATAATATCGTTAAACATTATCCCCGTGGTCCTCGGAATCGACGCCAAAATGACGGCTGCCACACCGGTGGTGGCTGGTGTCCGCCGACGGACTCGATAGAAAACGTCCGACAGCCATTATTACTGTCGGATTTCCGGGGTGACGGACGAGACACGTTTGCAATTCCCTCAACTTCGTACCCAAATAAATACTTGTGCCGTTTGTATAATAGTTACAAGTCGGTCGTTGTTTCCGAGAGAAAACCAATATTTACGTAAGTCATATTATTTAGACATTACAGATTCCGCTTATATTGTAATAATATCACCCCTTAGGTGATATCCCAATACTGGTGATGACTGACTGTTGATCATATTGTCATCTACTTGTTACATTCTCAWACTGCTGAAACTCATAAATCCATATTTACCWKTTCTGATCTCTTTTKATCTGACCATTGGGGCACTTTATAGTGTTTACATAATAGGTCGTGCCTACATCATTTCATATCCTTGTAACTATAATTTGATATTATATTTACTCAAAATTTGTGATTAGAGTGATCATTTTCACACTGTTCACTTAATTTTTTGCTTAATTTTTYTACTGATAAATTGGAAGTAAGAATCTCTTACTGTTTGTCAAAAATTACTCCYAAMATTGTACAACAGGTRCWTTACACAAATACTTGGGTACCGAGTTGGGTACCTGACCATTAATTTGATTGTTCGTTAATAGTATCACGCATTGTTAAAATACCTTTATCTCTTTAATTATTGTAGGCATAGAATTATGTTATATATTACCTAATGTTGAATACCCAACTAATTAAATCATTTTTTTAAATTTTTTAAATTTATTATTACTAATGACAGCTTATTAGTTATTAATAAAATATAAGAAGGTAGGTGTCATTCTAATATGCTGTTATACTTTTACAGTTATAACTAGCTACTAAAACATAGTTATGTAATATACCTACCTAGTAAAATAATCTTACTTTAAAACTCAACACAGATATAATACTAGACAAATATCAAAGTACCAACCATGTACAAAAAATTAACACGATCCATTACTTATTTATAGGTTCCAAAATGTACATTATATTATCATTAGAAACTAAACATTATAACCCTTTCAAAATGCTTAAAAAAAATTTACACTACAAGAAAAAAATTTAGAAAACCTATGAAACAGATTTAAAGGGTTATTGCATTAATTAGATAATTGCTTTTTTTAATTATTAACCATTTCAGTTTTCTAGCTTTATAAAATATTTGGTACCTGTTTAATTTAAAGATTTTACTTAACTTTACTTTATACCAACATAAATATTGATAAAATATGTATTAAATCAAATTCGCTATTTAACTATTTGTATTTCAATTCGTTAATTCATGGGCCCCCCCACACAAATGTTTTTAGTAGGGCCCATACATTGTTGAAGAGTAAACAAAATAGTCTTTTTATTTTTTTATTAAAAACTTTCAGTATTAAACTATTATAGTTCAACAATTAAAAATTCAAATTAGTCTTATAAACCTATTATCTATGAATTTACACTATAGGAAGTTTTACATTTATAAATTATAACTATTCTGGTTGTTAAAACATATACCTAGGTTATTTATTAGATCCATCTCATTTTAGTTATATGGCATAAAAAAATTAATTTCTGTTATGTCTCAGTACTCAACTTTTAGTTTAGTTCAGTTACTCAATTTTTATAATAACATTACGTAATAATAATAATAAAAGATATGATATAAAATGCATTGCATCCAAAAATCTATCTTAACTTTAATTGCTCTTTAATTTGTTACTTAAAAACCCATTAAATTTGTTTTTCATAGTAGTTGACTCTGATTAATTATYACTCACTTGTTTGTTTCAATAGTCCATGAACACAACGTGAATATAACGGCCAGTTGGTCGCAATGACAAAGAAATTTGAGTTCAATTGGCAGATCCCAGTTCCTGATGTGTTGCTACAAGGTTGTTTATTCGACCGCTGGTCTGAAGAAAAAGACAATGTGGACATCGAAAATAATTGTTTATTTAAAGTTGATGAATATGGATTTTTCATCTATTGGAAAAGCGAAAATCGAGTAAGTAATATTTTAAAATAATGAATGATTAATAGTATTCACATTGTTATGGACTATTTGAATACTTTTTCTTAAATTCTTTAAATAAGTATTTGTTTCAAATATTTTTTTTTTTTTCATTACAATAATTTTAAACACCTCAAATATTTATCTAATTTTGTTGTTATTATAAATCATTAATGATTAAATATATTTACAATTGTAGTTTAGATTTTTCTAAATATATTTCTCTATTTTTAGGATGGRGACGTCATTGAGTTATGCCAGGTCAGTGACATACGCTCTGGAGGATTACCTAAAGTAAGTAGTTATTTTTAAATAACATTTTTTGACTTCAAAATATAACATTATTTGAGCACAATTTTTTCAATTGTATATTTGGCCCAGTTTTGAACTGTTCCTTAATTGCTCGCCTCATACTCGGATTATTTTTCTCTGTCTAACATAAGAATATTATCTATGTTTGTATGCTTGTTTTTTKTTATTTCAATTTTTAAGTAAGGAATAAGTGTAAAATAATACAGTATACAAATGTTTGTAATTGTTAAAAATTAGAATATCAAAAAAATAAAATAAAAAAATATTTAAGTTCTTGTATTAAGCAAAGTACTTTATATTGATTTTACTGAATGAAAAATGTCTATAGTGTATTTTTGAAAGACAGACACTGTGTGCATGGAAATTCACACTTAATGTAAAATACTTGTATTGTTTTTAGGATACTCGACAACAGCAGCAGTTGATAAATAAACATGGCGATAACTTAGAAGAGAAATCCCTAACTATATGCAGCAACACGGATTACATCAACATAAATTACCAGCACGTTATTTGTCCAGATGCTGCTACAGCTAAAGTAAACAATACTGAATAATTACATCATTTAACACTGTTTGATCTATAAAATTATGTATTAATATTAAACTACCCAACAAATTATTCAAAATTATTTGAATGATAATATTTCCCAGTACCTTGCTATGCACTTTATACATTTTAARTTGCAAAATGCAAAAATATTATGTAATAAAAATTCTGAAAGCTGCATTATATTGAACAATGTATGTCAATCAATATGTTGGACTTTTAATAGGTTACCTATATTATATTATATATTAGTAATATTTAAAATATATTAGACTTTATTTTTCTATATATTTAMATCTATAAATAGTAACTGAAAATTTACATTACAATCCTTTATCAATTAATTTGAATTTAATTGATTGATTGCATAATTCATCTTACAAAAATAATTTTATGGGATACAAGATACCCTTTTTTTAGTTACATGTTTAATTTTCATGAATGTTTGAGAAACAGTTATAATTTATTAATTCCACAGGGAAATAATAGATAAACCACAATTTTATTACATTTTTATCTACCATAGTACCATAATTAATATTATAATAAACTGTAGTTKAATTAAATATAAAATGTTATTAAATCTCTCCTACATGATACAAATAATTAGTTCATACTACATTTGAAATAAATTTATCACTAATTATTGTCTATATTATGTAATTCTTAGTTCTTACATTATATAAAAAGTGTCTAAAACCATAACAGAAAGTTAAATTATTGGTTATTTTATTCAAACATTAATCTAATGGTTTATGATTTATAAATTCATAATTGTCAATTTAAAAATCAATATTTATAATCATGTAATTTAAAGTTTTTGTTTAAAAAAAAATAATAAAACTATACTTTTAACAAAAATTAATTTAAAAAATGTTTGTGTAGTGTAGATAATTGGTTTCTAACTTTGTAAACTAACTTGTTTATAGATAATATTGTTATTAATTATTACTAATTAAATAGTTTAAAATTGTTATTAAGTTATAGATATTAAAAATATTGCACAATAAGTCTTTTTAAATAACTACAAAACCTAATTCCTTATTATTTGTTTATATTTTCTTAAAGCAATGGCAAGAAGGTCTTCGTAAGATTACGCATAATAACAAAATGAATAATGTTTGTGTACGAACAAATCTTATGAAACAGTGAGTTTATTTTATCTATTAATTATATAACATAAAATATGCGTTATGAAATAAGCTAATTCTGTGTTAATATTAATATGTTATAGTTGGATGCGATTAGGCATGTTGGTGGATCCAAAAGGTAAAGTTCCTGTAAAAGTAATTGCTAGAACATTTGCTTCAGGTAAAACTGAAAAAATGGTTTACCAGTGTCTGGCTGATCTCAAMTTGCCTAGTGGAAAAGTATAGTAGATTGAATAATAATAAAATAAATTATATTTGTATTAATGTTATTAATATCTTAGAATGATACTATTGAGCCGTCTGATTTCACATTTGATAAATTCTATGAACTTTATCACAAGATATGCCCTAGAAATGATATTGAAGAACTTTTCCAGTCAATGTAAGTAATTAATTACTTAAAAAATTATTTCTGCAGTGTCAATATAAACAAAATATTGTTGCGTCTTTCCTTGGTAATTTTCAATTTCCATTTCAATAAATTGATGTAAAATTATACAACATTTTTATATGATATACAATTTTAAGCTTAAAAACTAAAAGGAACTCAAATATAAATTTGTCTTTTGTATTTTTGTGATAGAATGTAATAATATAGTTAACATAAATTCAGTTATATTCATAAGAAGCTCCTTATAAAAGTGTCATGTTACATCAGATTAATTGAGGATCTGAAATAAGGTGTCAAAGAGATTTTCTATCAAATACACGTTTTACTAAATAAATATTTAAAAAAAAAAAAAAAACAATTTAATTTAAATTTTAAATATTTTTGTTTATATACTTTCCATCTCTGATATATTGTCATTATTTTTTAGAACTCAAGGAAAAGCTGAAAATATCAGTTTGGATCAGTTTATCACATTCCTAAATGAGAAACARCGCGATCCTCGTTTAAATGAAATTTTATACCCTTTGTATGATGAAAAGAGAGCAATTGAAATTATCAATGACTATGAACCATCTGAAGAGGTGAAGARTGAAAGTAAGGAATTTTTTTAGTTAATATTTTATTTAAATATTTTCACAATAGTTCAGAAATTCCCAAATTGTCCATGGTACCACCCATTTTGGATAATGTTTAATAAACACTGTCAACACACAACATATATATATACACATGCGTGTATTTCAAAACTGTAAGCATCTGATTAAAAATATGATCATGACTTACAGTAGGAAACCTCTGCAATAATTTATTACTTACATAATATTCAATCAGAGGACTTATTTAGAATGTAATTTATTACTATCTAACTTTAAAATTAAAGTCAAGTCAGCTGTTGRTTTATATTTTTATWACAAAGAATTATTTTTTTATTATTATTATTATTACAATTACTATTTTATAAAATTTTTTTACTGTATTGCAAAATATTTTGGCATTATTAAATTAATTTTTTAAAAAATAAATAAATTCACAAAAAAAAAATTCTAAATAATTTTAATGACATTCATTGCGGTAATATATGACAGATCAAAAATTAAGGTATTATTCATGGTTACATGGAAATTGCTATTTGAAATATATTTTAATCAATAGGATGCATTTTCAAAGAATGAAATATTTTAACTGGAAAAAATATAAGGCATTTATTTTCATGAATATTTTATGATTTAGAAATATCAGATTGTGTGACATTGATCAAGTTATTTAAAGACATACAAATAATAATCTATCATCATTCAAATTATTTTCAAATTCCTCATGGTCAATACTTTTCTTTCTCTGTGCTTTGCTCATTTTTTCCATTACCTTTAGTTCTACACCATTCTGATCRGGAAACATAATCGGTTGATTATTTAACACTTCTTTCGCACTCTCAGCTGTCATGAATGTCACAAATCCTGGTACAATTTCTGTAGTAGGTTCCAAGCTTTTCTCTGTATTTATAATGTGTGCATTCACTACTAAACCCCACGTACTGAAAAATTGTTTCAATTCATCAGAAGTCACATTAACTGGAATATCGCCTACAAACAATTGATGGCTGTTTGGAAGAAATTTATTATCCTTGAATTGGAATGACTTCTTCTTCTCTTTGACTACTAACCAGACTCCAGTTTTATCTGGATATGTTATCGGACGATTTTGTAATACTGCCTGCGCAGATTCTGGTGTAGCATATGTTACAAAACCGTAGTTCACATTTCTTGTCATGATTCTCAAGCTATATAATTGACCATATTGTTCAAAAAATTGACTCAAGTCCTGAGGATTTGTGTCGGCTGGTATACCAGATACAAATAACTGATTACTTCTTGGTGGATATACCATTTTATCATACTGACTCACTAAATGCATTTTTCTATTATATGTTTTATTTCTTAATTTTCTTGTGCAAGTTATTACTTTATCATTRTCTATATTGAGTTGTGCTCTGTGATCTAAATAGAAAAGTTTGTCATTTTTTATTATATATTCATTWTTAGAATTACGGTCTAAAACAATTGTCTGTGAAAATCTTCTCTGGTCACTATTGTATTTAGTCAGGTTACCAACAACAACTATTACTATATAGTTATAGAGGTGTTGAGTGCTTATTGAAAATATATCGGTGTTACATCCTTTGTAGCCCAGTTGAACCAARCGGTCATGTATATCTTTTTGACCAACCACAAATTGAGTTTCAGTTTCAKTGGTCACCATTTGGTGCACAAATATTGAATTTTTTTCATAATATTTACTTAAATTATGTGGACATTTACTGAGTGTTCTGTAATATTTATATACGAAATTGTCGCCAAATGTTTTGAGATCTAAATCAGAATCCATATTCTGATTTGTACTACTACATAATGCTATATAATCCATAAAGTATTTTAAGTTTTAATTATGGTGTTTACATGGTTACATACAGCATGGATAAATACTTACTATTTAATTCAGGCCAGTATACAAATAATAATAATTTTTTTAGAGCAATTATCAAAAGAAGGTCTTATTAGATATTTAATGTCTGATGAAAATGCTCCAGTGTTTTTGGATCGATTAGAATTCTACATGGATATGGATCAACCTTTAGCCCATTATTATATTAACTCATCTCATAATACATATTTGTCTGGACGACAATTTGGTGGCAAGTCTAGTGTTGAAATGTATCGTCAAACACTTTTAGCTGGATGCAGGTGAGCCTATTTCTATAMAATTTAAGTTTTTATTTTAATTAAATTAAATTTTAACTTTTAACACCTACCTTGAAAATCTATAGATGTGTTGAACTCGATTGTTGGGATGGTAAAGGCGAAGAAGAAGAACCGATTATTACTCATGGGAAAGCCATGTGTACAGATATTCTATTTAAGGTATGGCTCATATTTTTATCAATGTGACATTATGTTTATTTCCCAGATTGAGCATATAATTCTCTAAACAATGTTAACCATTAGAACTCAATATGTTCTAATTTTAATATGTATTATGATTATATTARTTATGGCTATATTCAAATCAATGTAAATAAAAAAATAAGCCAAGCAAATTAAAATTTCAAAATGTAGATTTTTAAAATTATTAAAATTAGTATTACAATAATTTTTTTTTATCTAAACTCTAAAATAATTTCCAAAAATGTGTAGATGGTTTTTTTATTTTACAAAGTTAGTAAAAATAACAGCTTAGTGTAGTATTGTATTCAATAAATAACTTATATAGGATGTCTTGTTAAAATATACTGAATAATTGTTTTAATTTCTTGTTTCTCCAGACTCAAATTTTTAAGAGTTTAATTTTGTTTGATTGTTTTTGTTTTCCTCTGAGAATAATTTGACTTCTATGTTTCAATAAAAGTTAAATCAATAGTGATAAGCTTCTTTTGAACATTATTTTATATTATATTTAGAACCACTTTATTTTAGWTGTTTAAAAGTATTTTGTTAAATTTAGGATGTAATTTATGCTATTCGAGACACGGCATTTGTAACATCTGACTTTCCAATTATTTTATCATTTGAAAATCATTGTTGCAAAAGTCAACAATACAAACTTGCCAAATATTGTGATGAAATTCTTGGAGATTTATTAATGAGAGAATGCTTACCTGATTTTCCAGTAAGTTAATAATTGTTATTTTAATGCTTATTAATCTTTTTTTATATAATATTTTATTTTTAAGTGTGATCCAGGAGTGCCATTACCTCCCCCATCATTACTTAAAAGAAAAATCATGATTAAAAATAAACGATTAAAGCCAGAAGTTGAAAAAAGTGAGTTAGAGCTGTTTAGAAAAGGTCAGTTTGTCATTGAAGATGAAGAAAAAGAGGATGCAACTGCAGTGACTTCAAATCCACCTGAAGAAAAAAAGGTAATTTAAGAATATTGGGTATTATCTACCTATTATTATTGTTGTTGTTRTTATTATTATTATTATTAGTACTTATTTSTTATTAGTTATAACTTATAAAAGTCTTTGATGATCATAATCATATATATTTTATCACAAAATACTACTGGACTTATAAAATATTTAACTCATAATTAAGTAGGTTTAAATTGTTCTTGTATGTAATTTATAAGATCTTAAAAAGCGTCTATTCAGACAGACAGTATGTCTGAGAAGTATTGAAATTGCCCGTCATTGGGGKTTTTTACCATTTGTCTTAAYATTATATGTCACTAACAACTTTAGATTGTTTGACTGTGTGGGGTTTTGATAGGAATGTATTATAGAAATATGTTAATTTAATGCTGAACTTATTCCATCCACCTATTTAATTTTTTTTTATTATAGGTAAACACAAACAGATTATTTCCCTTTTCTGATTATCAATTAATAAATGGGATATAACATTTAAGGKCTTAAGGCAAATATGCAAGTTGCATATTTTACCATTTACCAAACATTATTATTTAATTTGCATATTATATTACATTATTTTTAACTACTATTTTTCAAACACAAGGTTGAAGTACCTGATGTAGGAACAGGTACTGAAGGCGCCGAGGCTCCACCACCAATTCAATATACTGGATCAACTACAAATGTTCATCCGTGGTTATCTTCAATGGTTAATTATGCTCAGCCTATCAAGTTTCAGGGTTTTGATGTAGCTGAAAGTAAGTTTGATAAATAATGTAGTGTTTTTATTTAAAAACTGTTGTATATAAACATTTTTTATTTTTATAGAAAAGAATATTCATCATAACATGAGTTCTTTTGCTGAAAACACTGGACTTGGGTATYTGAAATCTCAGGCAATTGAATTTGTAAACTACAATAAAAGACAGATGAGCCGTATATATCCAAAAGGAACCCGTGCTGATTCTTCAAACTATATGCCACAAGTAAAATTAAAATTTTTTATCATTTTAATTTTCCCTTCATTGTTCATAATATTCCTATTAAGCCTTCTAGTGACTCTATTCGAGACCTTGATTTTACGTTTACTTGCGTATTTTCCCCAACTAAACACATTGAAATCATTTGTTGTAGGGTGTACAAGATACTTGGCTTTATCCTTCGCTCCTCTTTTGGGTTTTCAACTTGTTTCASCAACAAGCTATCAAAGCCCTATACTGTGCTCTGGTTCGTCCCTTGTTTGAATATGGCTCCGTTCTCTGGGACTCATCCACTGCATGTGCTATTGCCTCTATTGAACCTCTTCATTGTAAAACTCCTTCGCATTGTGGCTTATAGACTTATATCCCTCACCCACCTCATGATTACTCACCTGTTCTACGTGCCCTGAATATTTCTTCATTAGCTGACCGTCGTCATGTGTTTAATATATCCTTCCTTTCCAATCTTCTTTCTACCAAAATTGATTCTCCTTTTTTCTTATCTTAATTAATTTCTGAATCCTGTCCCACACCACTCGCTGCACTGTCCCTTTCTACATTCCCCAATCACCTTCTAATTACCTCAATAACTCTCCTATTATCCGTCTCATGCGAATAGCTAAAAATGACCCTACTTTTTCTTTGCAATATATTTTTTGTTCTGTGGTCTTTAAATTTTATTTAACCTTGTGTAATTGTGTTTGTGTAAGTATTTTTATATGTTTATTTCTTGTTATTTTTGAACTTATTATTTTAAAATAACCAAATAAATATTAATATAATGTTATTTTTTAGGTTTTTTGGAATGCGGGTTGTCAAATGGTATCGTTAAATTTTCAAACTGCTGACTTGCCTATGCAGCTTAATCAGGGAAAATTTGAATACAACGGTAACTGTGGATACTTATTGAAACCAGATTTCATGCGCAGAGCAKATCGAAGCTTTGACCCATTTGCAGAATCTCCTGTGGATGGGGTGATTGCTGCCCAGTGTTCGGTTCAAGTGATTGCTGGACAATTTTTGTCTGATAAGAAGGTTGGTACTTACGTTGAAGTTGATATGTATGGCCTTCCTACAGATACTATTCGTAAAGAATTCCGGACGCGAATGGTACCTAGCAATGGTTTGAATCCGGTATACAATGAAGAACCATTTTTGTTTAGAAAGGTAATTTGAATTTTTTTATCATATTTGCATAAATAATCTAATACATAGTTTTGAAATTTTAAAATCATATTTTTGTTTAAAATGTCTGATGATCATGTGTAAATATTATATTAATTTTTATAATTTTTTTTAATATTGTACTTTAGGTAGTGTTACCAGATTTAGCAGTTTTGAGAATTGGTGTATATGAAGAAAATGGAAAACTATTGGGACAAAGAATTTTACCTCTAGATGGTCTACAAGCCGGCTATAGGCATATATCATTAAGATCAGAAGCCAATTTCCCAATGGCTCTTCCTATGTTATTCTGTAACATTGAATTGAAAATTTATGTTCCTGACGGTTTTGAAGGTGCGTTAAATAATTTATTGAAATATAAATTTTTTTCCTTTACAAGAATAATTTTAATACTTACAATTTTAAAAATAGTTACTATATTACTATACAAATATATTACATTCTACATATATTAATAGCTACTTAATATTGTACCTAAATGGCCTACAAAAATAAAATAAAAAATTTGTCTGAATAGGTAAATCGATTTCCGAGAAATATAATAAATATTTTTAAAAAGGGAATTCGTACCATAGTATAGTATAAAGATATAGTATAAATTATAAACTATAGAATGGGCTACGTGCAAATTAGTTCAAAATAGTATGACTTTTAAAGTCCAATGTCACCGAACCCTATATTAATATCAGACCTTAGCCCTAATATTTTGAAAATGTAGGATAGGACTGAAGCGGTCTATATGAGACATATTGACCACTTTCCTCTACACGGTATGCCATTTTTGCCGATATTCTGGGCCTTTTGAAATATTTTTCGCACCAATAGATTTCTAGGACTTCGGCGCCACTGTTGAAGTCTATTAATATTTATAATCTAACTGTCGTATCATTATTTTCGTGGAATGAYGCYGCAAACGAATTGCAGTTTATCATGAATGAAAAAAAAAAWTYTGTGTAGTAAGCAGCAACTATATCACAGCCGAGAATTAGGTAGTAGTAGATACTGAATGCGACACMGATAATTGTATTAGTCTTTAGTAGGTACTTTGAAAACCTGTTCCGCGATACCGTTGGCCGGTGGGGATGGCCATAATATAATAAKTTAGCAAAGCCGTTTAGAAACTGCACGTCTGTACACCCAACTACCACCATCACCAGTCACCACCACTCTTTCACCAATTATTATTATTACGATAARTTAGGTACATTATTATAATTATTAAATGAATTATAAAAAATATTACACGTMACTTTCCCTCCGCCGCTCATGTAATATATAACATAAACATATTATGTTAAAATGATTTCCAAAACCAAGAAGTTCCTGTTAGTGCTGCTGTTGAAATCGTARGTAGCAGTTGGCCACGTTTTTGCGAAAGCGCGTAACAATCGTCGTGTTGAAATTATACCTAGTATATATTATACAAAAATAAAGACGCTCTTATATACTGTCAAGTGTCAGACGGATTAACCGGTAGGAAATTTTTACAAGTTTTTACAAATTTTAAAATCTAAAATTGATTCTWTTAATTATTATTCTAWTTTTTAATATTGAGTGCTTCTAAGTATCTTTTATGTATATTGTATTTTATATTGAAGTGATTTACGAGAATATCCGATGTGTACCTTGCTTTTTCCCTTTCATTAAACGAATTTTTAATAATTTGAATTCAATGCACCGCAACCATAAAGAGTAGAGACTTTAATGCGACTTTAAAAAGAAAAAACATCAAATTTTCGATTTTTTTGGCAACGCTTCGAGGTTTTTCCAGCAAACCAGAGAATATATTCCTAGACATTTTGATAGCGTTTCACCTCATTATGTTTTTGTGATCGTCTAATAATTTTCGATATTTTTTTTCAAATTAATCTTTACTTGACGCATGACGTCGATAAAAAAAATTAGATTAAGTCTAGTCCTAACATTTTTTCTAAGCAACGGAGTCTTGYAAATTTATATTCGTTGTAAAAGTCTTTAAGCCAAAGCTGTAGTTACAGAGCTTTTTTAAAATCCCTTTATTTAATATTTGTTTATTTATAAATAATATTTAGGATRACATTGCAGTTCCAAATCATAATTATTCTACCCGACTTAAATATCTAAGTCCATTGTTAGTGTTATCATTCCAAAATGAGAACTACAGTTTTTAGGTGACAATTTCCT